TTTCCGCCGCTGGTCTGCAGGAACCAGGACAAGATTCCTGGCACAATTGGTATGTATGGGTGACCAAAAACCAAAGTTATAGAACCAAACCCCTGTTTCTGTAATGCCTCCAATAACTTCCAAAAAAACTCTATGCTGCTCGCCTTCAAACGTTCGAAATAATTCCTCAAAATTCTGCCGTGGTAATAAAAATTCCAGTACTTAGATGAACAACGACTATGGGAGAACATCTCTTGTGGTCAGGATAAAATTTTTAGTCTGTGATTGTTCTCCAGAAAGCAAGATTCAGTCCGTGAGTGTTCTTCAGGAAGCAAGATTCAGTCCGTGAGTGTTCTCCAGAAAGCAAGATTCGTGTTTTTATTAATCTTAATTAAGTCCCACTTTTCCGTTTTTCAATAGATGGCGATGCTAATATCCAGTCAGTAATTAAGAAATGCCTCGTCTTATCGGCTTCAAACTATTAACACTGACGCATAAGAAGGTTGACATTATATAAGGTTAAACTGTGAAGGTCTAAATTAAAATTTTTATCGAATATTTAAAAAAAAAAAACTTGTCATTGGAGTCAGTGGAACTACTAAAGAACGTCTCTTGGGAGAGGCATCAAACTTTCACTGCTAAGGAATTTTTGTAATGAAACTGGGCAGTATAGGCTCCAATCTGCCACTCTTACAGAGAAATAAACTTGATTTTCTTAAAAATACAAAATCTCTCTCTCTCTCTCTCTCTCTCTCTCTCTCTCTTTATATATATATATATATATATATATATATATATATATATATATATATATATATATATATATATATATATATATATATATGAACCAAAAAATATCTCTTCTCATCAAAAATAAATCATAGTGTTTGATATCATTGGCTTATCCTATGTTAAATATACACAATGTGCATTTTATTCGCATAACGACCGAGCTACGGAGTGCCATAGCTCGGTGGCTAGCGCACTCACACACAGGTCCGGGGAACGATCCCCCGGTACGGCTGGTGTAGACATAAAGTTTTTACTATTATTAACATGTTTGTCCTCAAGATCATTGTAAGAAAGTTGTTCGTTATGTGACCATAACCTAAATAAAACTTATTCATTTACTTAAACCTTATATGGTGGTCAGTGTTACTTAACTGGAGTTTAACTGGAAAGAGTTCCGGGGGTCAACGCCCCCGCGGCCCGGTCTGTGACCAGGCCTCATTGTGGATCAGAGCCTGATCAACCAGGCCGTTACTGCTGGCAACGGAAATATAAACACATATGCAGTATAATGTGATCCTTTATTGACAACGTTTCGCCCACACAGTGGGCTTTTTCAAGTCACAAACAGTTCTGTTTGTGACTTGAAAAAGCCCACTGTGTGGGCGAAACGTAGTCAATAAAGGATCACATTATACTGCATATGTGTTTATATTTCCATTGTGTCGGTATTTTATACCATTTATTTCCACTGCTGGCAACACGCAAACCAACGTACGAGCCACAGCCCGGCTGGTCAGGTACCGACTTTAGGTGCTTGTCCAGTGCCAGCTTGAAGACAGTCAGGGGTCTACTGGTTTACCCCCTTATGTATGCTGGGAGGCAGTTGAACAGTCTTGGGCCCCTGACACTTATTGTGTTGTCTCTTAACGTGCTAGTGACACCCCTGCTTTTCATTGGGGGGATGTTGCATCGTCTGCCGATTCTTTTGCTTTCGTTGTGAGCGATTTTCGTGTGCAAGTTCGGTACTAGTCCCTCTAGGATTTTCCAGGTGTATATAATCATGTATCTCTCCCTCCTGCGTTCCAGGGAATACAGGTTCAGGAACTTCAAGCGCTTCCAATAATTGAGGTGTTTTATCTCCGTTATGCACGCCGTGAAGGTTCTCTGTACATTTTCTAGGTCAGCAATTTCACCTGCCTTGAAAGGTGCTGTTAGTGTGCAGCAATATTCCAGCCTAGATAGAACAAGCGACCTGAAGAGTGTCATCATGGGCTTGGCATCCCTAGTTTTGAAGGTTCTCATTATCCATCCTGTCATTTTTCTAGCAGATGCGATTGACACAATGTTATGGTCCTTGAAGGTGAGATCCTCCGACATGATCACTCCCAGGTCTTTGACGTTGGTGTTTTGCTCTATTTTGTGGAAGGTATTTGTTTTGTACTCCGAGGAAATTTTAATTTCCTCGTGTTTACTACCATATCGGAGTAATTGAAATTTCTCATCGTTGAACTTCATATTGTTTTCTGCAGCCCACTGAAAGATTTGGTTGATGTCCGCCTGGAGCCTTGCAGTGTCTGCAATGGAAGACACTGTCATGCAGATTCGGGTGTCATCTGCAAAGGAAGACACGGTGCTGTGGCTGACATCCTTGCCTGTCAGATATGAGGATTTAGATGGGTGGCTATCTTGCTTCTTAGGACCCTTTCAAAAAATTTTATATGGGATGTTAGTGCTATTGGTCTGTAGTTCTTTGCTGTTGCTTTACTGCCCCCTTTGTGGAGTGGGGCTATGTCTGTTGTTTTCAGTAACTGTGGGACGACCCCCGTGTCCATGCTCCCTCTCCACAGGATGTTAAAAGCACGTGATAGGGGCTTCTTGCAGTTCTTGATGAACACGGAGTTCCATGAGTCTGGCCCTGGGGCAGAGTGCATGGGCATGTCATTTATCACCTGTTCAAAGTCATTTGGCGTCAGGATAACATTAGATAGGCTTGTGTTTACCAAATTCTGTGGCTCTCTCATAAAAAAATTCATTTAGATCTTCGACTCTCTGTCTGGTTAGCGGCTTGCTAAAAACTGAGTCATATTGGGACTTGAGTAGCTCACTCATTTCCTTGCTGTCATCTGTGTAGGACCCATCTTGTTTAAGTAGGGGCCCAATACTGGATGTTGTTCTCGACTTTGATTTGGCATAAGAAAAGAAATACTTTGGGTTTCTCTCGATTTCATTTATGGCTTTTAGTTCTTCCCGCGATTCCTGACTCCTATAACATTCCTTTAGCTTTAGTTCGATGGTTGCTATTTCTCGGACCAGTGTCTCCCTACGTACTTCAGATATATTGGCCTCTTTTAGCCGCTCTGTTATTCTTTTCAGTCGCCTGTAAAGGGAGTGCCTGTCTTTTTCTATTTTACATCTGCTCCTCCTTTTTCTTAAAGGAATATGCCTTGAGCATACATTGAGTGCCACAGAGTTAATCTGTTCTAGGCATCAGTTGGGGTCTGTGTTGCATATTCTATCTTCCCAGCTTATATCGTTTAGGGCTTGGTTTACTTGGTCCCACTTTATGTTCTTGTTATTGAAGTTGAATTTGTTGAAGGCTCCCTCGTGACTTCTCATTTTGTTGGTCTGGGGCTCCGCACATACATGTCTGAACCTCGATTATGTTGTGATCCGAGTATATTGTTTTTGATTATTATTTTTTTTATTAACACACTGGCCGATTCCCACCAAGGCAGGGTGGCCCGAAAAAGAAAAACTTTCACCATCATTCACTCCATCACTGTCTTGCCAGAAGGGTGCTTTACACTACAGTTTTTAAACTGCAACATTAACACCCCTCCTTCAGAGTGCAGGCACTGTACTTCCCATCTCCAGGACTCAAGTCCGGCCTGCCGGTTTCCCTGAACCCCTTCATAAATGTTACTTTGCTCACACTCCAACAGCACGTCAAGTATTAAAAAGCATTTGTCTCCATTCACTCAGACACTTAGACAAAATATTTGAATAATTCTGACCTGTTTACCTCTTTTTTTTTTTTTTTTTTTAAGTGATTATCATGAGAGAATTTTTGAGTTCCTTATTTTGTTTTCAATGTTGTTGATCTTATGAAGCAACTTTACAGGTACTGTACTTGGTATTTTCGAATACTGATCTGTGAGACAACTAGAGAAAGCCTCTTCAGTTTGGCTTCAAAGTTGGTGTTTCTCAGTGGAAAGTCTGAATTAGTTTTTTCAGCTTAATTATGTCCTAATTTGCCATTTTTATTGATGAAGTTGTGATTGTATTTTCCATGTGATAATTTATGAAAGTCACTTGTGATTTGCTTCAAATCTTCAACGTTAATATTTAACTTCATTACACACTTATGCTGCAGTCTGACCTTTAACTACCACATGCCATGAGACATGTGATGCTGAGGTGATCCAGTACTGGAATAACTGTCGCTCACTGACATGTGATGCTGAGGTGATCCAGTACTGGAATAACTGTCGCTCACTGACATGTGATGCTGAGGTGATCCAGTACTGGAATAACTCTCGCTCACTGACATGTGATGCTGAGGTGATCCAGTACTGGGATAACTCTCGCTCACTGACATGTGATGCTGAGGTGATCCAGTACTGGGATAACTCTCGCTCACTGACATGTGATGCTGAGGTGATCCAGTACTGGGATAACTCTCGCTCACTGACATGTGATGCTGAGGTGATCCAGTACTGGGATAACTCTCGCTCACTGACATTTGATGCTGAGGTGATCCAGTACTGGGATAACTCTCGCTCACTGACATGTGATGCTGAGGTGATCCAGTACTGGGATAACTCTCGCTCACTGACATGTGATGCTGAGGTGGTCCAGTACTGGGATAACTCTCGCTCACTGACATGTGATGCTGAGGTGATCCAGTACTGGGATAACTCTCGCTCACTGACATGTGATGCTGAGGTGATCCAGTACTGGGATAACTCTCGCTCACTGACATTTGATGCTGAGGTGATCCAGTACTGGGATAACTCTCGCTCACTGACATGTGATGCTGAGGTGATCCAGTACTGGGATAACTCTCGCTCACTGACATGTGATGCTGAGGTGATCCAGTACTGGGATAACTCTCGCTCACTGACATGTGATGCTGAGGTGATCCAGTACGGGGATAACTTTCGCCCACTGACAAAAGTGCATCTAGTTATTGAGATAATCAGTAATTACAATGTGTAACATTGAAAGAGGAGCTTTACAAGCACATTTGAACTCCAACTTCAAGTGTTTCATAAAATTTACACATTAACTCATTTCTTAAACTTTATTTAAAGACCAATGCCCACAACAATAATCTAAAAGGTAAATCATAGCGGCTACAGCCATTGTGATTTATCTTTTACGAAGCTCTTGTAACACGGAGGTAAACTGTACAATGAACACTCACCGTCGTGCTGCCTTAGAATAAAGGTTTCAGTTCTTTGTCCCAAACTTTACACATTTAAGTGATGAAACATAGATGACTTTCTTCTTTCCTTTTTGAACCATTATCAGGTTGCAAATGAATAAAGTTGTTTCATGTGATTAAAATATTATGGCCTAGGATGAGGCAAGTAGTGCGAATTATAATGGACAGAGCCAAGCGCATCAGGCCTTGAAGCCTCTACAATGGGACGAGCCAAGGTTCCCTCTGAAAGTTAATCCCAGTCAATCACGTTCTCCAGATGGCTGCCTGCGTCAATATCGTCTTGAGTCGAGTTGCTGCTCGACTGGTTGCCTCCGAAGGTATTAGCATCGATGTTGATGTCGAAGTCAGCTTGACCCTTTTCGTTGCAGCTGTCCTGGACGATCTTACTAAGTAAACTAACGTTAATTCCATTCTCCGTCAGGTTCGTCTTCACCTGTGAGATAAAGGAGACAAGGGATGAGCACCAGAGGAAAAAATTCACTGTGTACATTATAATAACATTACAATTCATTTGATTTTAGTTTGTTAACTGTAATCATTTTAATTTCTTACAAATTTAATTTAGAATAAAGATGCAAATCTTTCTTTCAACACCGGTCGTATCCCACCGAGGCGGGGTGGTCCACCGAGGCGGGGTGGTCCACCGAGGCGGGGTGGTCCACCGAGGCGGGGTGGCCCACCGAGGCGGGGTGGCCCACCGAGGCGGGGTGGCCCACCGAGGCGGGGTGGCCCACCGAGGCGGGGTGGCCCACCGAGGCGGGGTGGCCCACCGAGGCGGGGTGGCCCACCGAGGCGGGGTGGCCCACCGAGGCGCGGTGGCCCAAAAGGGAAAATGAAAGTCTCTCCTTTTACATTTAGTAATATATACAGAAGAAGGGGTTACTAGCCCCTTACTCCTGGTATTTTAGTCGACTTACAACACGCATGGCTTCTGGAGGAAGAATTCTGTTCCACTTCCCCGTGGAGAAAAGGTGCAAATATGCATTTTAAATATTTCACTTAAAACTAATTTAACAGACAGGTAATAATCTAATACCATCCATATAAGATTTGGCAAGAAGTTGTCTTGAAGTAAAGTGAACCAAAATTTCAACGAATCTATAAAGTACTGAATTAATATACCACACTGACAAATTTTGATTGTAAAAAATAGAGGACTTAAAAAAAATAAGGATTATTGGTTAAAAAGATTTAACCATTATACACAATCACCAAATTAATGTGATATAATTATAGCAATTTTATGTAATGAGCCATAGAATATAATCTGATAAAAATCAAAAGTGAGTTAACAGTTAAAAGAGGAAGAGTAAAAAAAAGTGATCACAAATCACTTAGTTTCAATGTATTACAGAATTACCCACTAAACTGCAATCAACTCTCTGTCCCAGACTTCTGCTTGGCCAATTTTATGGGACTGAAAAATTACCTGGGTGGGCTAAATTGGGATGACCTGACTATGAGTCAGGTAGGTGATCTTGGTTGCCAATATGACGTTTTTCAGAGCATAGTTTTAGCTGCTCAAACAACTTTTGCTCCGAGTACAGAAATTAGGTCTAATAAAAATGTTCCCAAATGGATGAACAATATATTAAAACTTCTCATTGGTCAAAAGAGAGGCATTTTTAAGTGGGGATGAACAGTTAAAAATCAATATATTCAATTAAAGAGAGAAATAGAAAAAAGGAATAAGAAAAGCAAAAAGGGATTATGAGTCTAAGGTCACAAGAGATTCGAAGACTAACCCAAAAGGGTTATTTCAGGTATACAGAAATAAGATTAGGGACAAGATAGGCCCATTTAAGAGTACTCAGATCAGATCACTGAAAGTGATAAGGACATGTGTGAAATTTTCATTACTTACTTCCTCTCAGTTTTTACTCAGGAAGATACTAGCGAAATTCCAGAAGTAATAAATCATGTAGAACAGGACGATATAAACTATGCACGATTGGGGTAACTAGTAACATGATCCTCAGACAAATAGAAAAATTAAAACCTAACAAATCACCACGCAATGATTTTAAAGGATTGTAAAGAGGAACTTAGCAAACCTTTGGCTAATCTTTACAACATATCACTACAAACTGACATAGTGCCTGATAAGTGGAAAATGGCAAATGTAATACCTATTTACAAGGCAGGTAACAGGTCCTTGGCTTCGAACTATAGACCAATAAGCCTTACGTCCATAGTGGGAAAATTTATGGAATCAATTGCCGAGGCAATTTGTAGCCATCTTGAAAGGCATAAATTGATGAATCTCAATACTGTTTTACTAAGGGGCCTTGCTGTCTTACGAACTTACTAACTTTTTTCACTAAGGTGTCTGAGGAGGTAGATCAAGGTAATGAAGATAATATTGTGTATATGGAATTCAGTAAGTGGTGTTGCCTCGAACGTTCAAAAAAGATGTATGAGACAGGGGAGAGTAAAATTTAAATGTGTTGGTGCAGATTTGTCTATTTTATTTGAAAATAAAAAAATGTTGTGAAGTTTTTATTCCCGTTAAACCACATTAAATAAATTTCAGTTTACCTATTTTGAACGACTTCACTATTTAATAGTTGATGCATCTTATGGGTCAGAATAATGCCTATTACGTTATGTTTACACGCAGCAAATTTGTTGATGTAACAGTGAAAGCAACATTGGAATCATTGGAATCTTTGCCTTAACTACAGAATAACATCTGATCGGCTTTAAATTTTCACCAATGGTGTGTTTTCTAAATGCAATTTTCCAGTTTTACTGATTAATGATATTCAATTATTTTATTCAAAAGCTTTCGAATGTTTCTTTTGATTGGCTTCTATTATTATTATTATTATTATTATTATTATTATTAAAGATTCGCCGGTATTCTCCCGGCCCGGGCCTTTTCCAAGTGGTGGCCCGGCCTTGGCTCCCTCTTTAGGGAGTGTCTGAGACCTAAGTCTCCCATGGGAGGAGGCACAAGTACCTCCTCATCTTTGGGACCAACTGTCCCCAGGCCTAGCCACAAGTTAGGCCTCTCTGGTCAGCCATCCCCGCCCCAAGGGAGCAAATGGGAATGACAGTCTTATGAGCTACAAGCTCGGGCTCAGGCACCTACCCTACCCTAGAAGGGTTAGGCATGGTGTCGATCATGTCTTATGAATAACTCCAATGATTCCTTCATATCTTCAGCACCAATATTCAACTGCATTATCATTTTATATTATTATTATTATTATTATTATTATTATTATTATTATTATTATTATTATTATTATTATTATTATTATTATTACTATTATTATTATTATTATTATTATTATAATCAAAAAGAAGCGCTAAACCACAAGGGCTATACAGCGCTGCTATCATCTTATAGAACACTTGGATAACTTTCTTGGTTCTCGCAGCGTACGAAATACTTGAATTTATTTTTATATTCGTGGGGAAGAGTTATGGATGATCGACACCATGCCTAACCCTTCTAGGGTAGGGTAGGTGCCTGAGCCAGAGCTTGTAGCTCATAAGACTGTCATTCCCATTAGCCCCCTTGGGGAGGGGATGGCAGACCAGAGAGGCCTAGCTTGTGGCTAGGCCTGGGGACAGTTGGTCCCAAAGATGAGGAGGTACTTGTGCCTCCTCCCATGGGAGACTTAGGTCTCAAACACTCCTTAAAGAGGGAGTCAAGGCCGGGCCACCACTTGGAAAAGGCCCGGGCCGGGAGAATACCGGCGAATCTTTAATAATAATTAATAAGAGCTATGGATGATACAGAAAATGGAGAACAGAAGGTAATCAAAGGAAGGGTAACTTTAATTCCTTAGATCAAGAGCAGTTCACCTGTATCAATGTCTCTCTCTCCTCACTCTTTGAAGTGAACGAGTGGGGAAGGTTCGTCCTCACTTCTGCTGAGACACATGCTATCTGTCTTTCTGTTTGCTCCTCAGTGAATGCGCTGAGACTTAGTTTAATGGAAGTTGTACCACATTACAAAAGTGAGAAATTACTTATTGAATTCTATCAGACGCACAAACATTGCATTGTAACTTCTTAATAATTCCAATATCAGTTACTTCATTATTAACACCAAAGAGGTGGAAGAAGGAGACTAAACCTGGAAACTTTAAACACTATGGAATATTTAAAATATCTCTTTATCAAGGTTACAGAGACATGTAGGAATTTTTGGACACCTAGGTCCCAAAAATGTCCCCCTTCGATACCTACTCCACTCTTTCTATCTCCACAAGTCACTCTGGACCTATATTAATTTCAAATGAAATATACATCACCAGGAATTCTGGTACAACATTAATATAAATATGTGGACTGTATGTTAATTTTAATAAATGACTAGATATACATTAAAGGAGAATTTATCTTAATACCACTCACCAATTTATCTGGAGATTACTTGGTGTGTCATACACAAACCCCTGCTTAAAATATGAAGAAAACACTGGCCAGAATTTCAACATAAATAGACATCACTCAACTGGGGTAATTTTATCCTGTTTCTAATTACGGAGTCCTGTCCAGCCGCCTAATTCTCACATTATGCAGGACTGCAATTCCAACAATTTCTGATCCTATTTGGGGGGTTTCAACCACAATTTAACCTCCGGAGCGACAAAATTTATGCACATTTCACTAGCGTGCCTTTGCTCAGTTCAAAACAATGGTGTCTCTCCCCAACGATGCTAACCCACCGTCGCTGGTTCATTTTTCTATTTACAAATTAATTTTTATTACCTGCAATATATTCCATCAATTTACATACAAAATACACTGTATTTTCGGAAAATATACAGTATTTCCCACAAACACCTTCACATTGACTTTGATCTTGTTTATTAGAGGAGAATAGTAGTGAAAATATATTCTACAATTCAGGACTCTTAAGGGAATGAAGACAAGAAAAGATATCAAATACCAGGAGATACAATGTATCAAGTTTCGATCTCTAGTTACTTGTATCTATTTATTTCTGTGATGTCAAAGAATAAACTAAGCAGCATAGAATCATTTATATTTATCTCAATATGACGATAAAGTATTATGAAATCAATAATAACATACATAGTAAGCGTTAAAATGGTATAAAATACCGACAGGTTGTTAGGTAAGACACATATGCAACAGTTAGGTGTCTTTATTATGAAACGTTTCGCCTACACAGTAGGCTTCTTCAGTCAAGTACAGAAAAGTTGATAGAAGCAGAAGATACTTGAAGACGATGTAATCAGTCCATCACTGAAGAAGCCTACTGTGTAGGCGAAACGTTTCATAATAAAGATACCTAACTGTTGCATATGTGTCTTACCTAACATACATAGTAAGCACTGACCTGGCTTAGGAGAGCAGCATCCAGGGTGGGCTGGCGACTGAGTATACGCACTGTGTAGCGGCGCACAAACCACATTGTTGTACACTCGTAGAGCACAGCGTACTGGGTGTAGTCTGTGTCCACCACTGTCAGGTAGGTGTTGAAAAATCCTGGAGCTGGCAAGAAAACAATGCATGAAAATATGTTGGGAAAACCTGTAGTGCTGGAGAATTTCTCAGTAATAAAAAGTACTAACTTAAAAATAATCCTTATGAGTATTTTTTGGTTAATGGTGCCCCGTGGCCTGGTGACAAAGCTCTCGCTTCACATGTGAGGGTCCGGGTTCGATTCCCAGCGAAGGGGTGAAAATACTGGGCGTGTATCCTTACACTGGTTGTCCATGCTCACCCATCAGTAAAAATGGGTACCAAGGAGTTAGTGGACTGGTGTGGGTCGCATCCTGGGGCAAAATTAACCTAATTTGCCCGAAATGTTCTGCATAACAATTGGCTTTCTATGTAGTAGAACATCACTGATGTCAACTAGGACTGTATATCTTGTACGTGTATTTGTAAAATAAATATATTTAAATCCCCCAACTTACGAACGAGTTTCGTTCCCGAAGGCTGTTCAATCACGAATTGCTCGAAAATCGTTATTTTTTCCATCCATCTCGTTAGATTTTTTGTTTTCTCTCTGCACCCTTGTTCGTTGAAAACTTAGACAATACTGTACAGTATCAGTAATGTACGGTTCTCAGTACTAAAGCATATTTTATTAAATACCGTAATAAAATAAAACTTTAACACGGTAGTCTGTTCGTATGTCCGAATGTTCGTAACTCGAATGTTCATAAGTAGGGTACGTCTGTATATGATTACTGCATCCCCCGTCTGCAAGCCTCCTAAACTGAGAAGGAAATCTTGAAGGAATTAGAACCGTTTAGAACCACAGTGGAGAGTAAAGCCAATATATGTACAAAATTTAAATATAAATTTATAGAATTTACCTGTCATCTTGATTATTTGAAAAGATGTGAATTGATTTGTTTATATATGACGTTTATGTCCTGAAAACTTCACATTGCCTCCCTGAAAGCAACTTGCCATTGCCAGCTGAACCTCCTTAACTTTATCAACTAATATTTCGTAGTTGTGTATCTGTGTCAATAATTTTAATTATTAAATATATTGGCTTATTAGGATATATTACGTATGTGTATTAAAATTACTCCAAGACTCAGTGTTAAGCATTACAGTATAGCGACTATGCTCAGTGTAATTCTGAGTCAGAGTATTTAGTACTGTGTTACAGATATGTGTTTCTTGATCTAGTGTTGTGTCTGTTCAGTTTTCCGCAAGTGTTTACTGTTTGTGTTTTCTAATAAGTTTCTTTCAGACTTTATTCCACCTAGTTTTTTTCTATAATATATTTCATTTCATACTTTGAGAGCAGTGTATTTCATAATTAATAATTTTTTTTCTAGTTTTGTGTCAATATCACCTTACAGAATTTCTTTTTTAAATACATATAACTGCATTTTTGAGTAATTATCTTCCAGATGTTCTTATCTCTTACATATATTTTGAATTATTATTGCTGTTTAGATTTTTCTTTGAATTTTGTGAATAGACATAACCCACTCCAGACTTATATCAATATAAGAATAATACATTTTACCCATGCGAGGCAGGTCCATGTCACCCCCGGCTTAGACCAATGACCCACCTAGTCAGGTCACATCCACTTAAGGAAGGGGCACAGCAGCAGACCCACTAGCACAAGCTCACACCCACCCGCACCCACTCATGTATTTATCTAACCTATTTTTAAAACTACACAAGGTTTTAGGTTCTATGACGGTACTCTGGAGTTTGTTCCACTCATCCACGGTACCTGTCCTCCGCCTTCTTGAAGACAATCAGGGGTCTATTGGTAATCCCCACCCTCCATGTATGCTGCCTGGGGAATACAAATCAACGGACTTTAACTGTTCCCAGTAATTTAGGTACTTTATCGTACTTATGTGTACTGTGAAAGTTTTTTCAACACAAACCTAGCCGAGACCACACCTCACTATGGTGAGGCGTGGTCTCGACTAGGCTTGTTTCATGTCCCGAGGACACTCATGGCTGTGGTATGCCCAAGGAGGCTGAAATTAATCCTTGAGCATACTACTGCCAGGAGTGTCCTCGCAACATGAAACAAGCCTAGTTTGCTAGGCTCATTTTGTTTGTTTACCCCTTCCCTCCAACCTTTCCTAGGCCGACTCCTCCTCTGTCTTCCTTCCACTACAGATTTATACACTCTCCAAGTCATTCTATTTCGTTCCACCTCTCTAAATATCCGAACCACATCAACCTGTCCTCAGCCCTCTGGATAATACATTTAGTAACCCCACACTACCTACTAATTTCCAAACAACGGATTCTCTCTATTATATTCACTCCACACATTGCCCTCGGACACGACATCTCCACTGCCTCATGCTTCGCACCGATATAAGAGTGCTGGCATAACTATACTCTCATACATTCCCCTCTTTGCTTCCATGGATAATGTTCTTTGTCTCCACAGACTCCTAAGTGCACCACTCACCTTTCCCTATCATTAGTTCTGTGATTCGTGTCCACTCCCAAATATTTAAATTCATTCACCTCCTCCATGCTCTCTCCCTCCAATCTGATATCCAGTGTTTGGATACCTATTTTTTTGTTATCCTCATCACCTTACTCTTTCCTATATCCACTTTTAATTTCGTTCTTGACATACCCTACCAAACTCCAAACTCATCCACCAACTTCTGCAACTTCTCTTCAGAATCTCCCTAAAGCACAGTGTCATCAGCAAAAAGCAACTGTGACAACCCCCACTGTGTGTAAGATTCTTTATCTTTAAACCTCACACCTCTTGTTAACACCCGAGCATTCACTTCTAAACAGTCCCATCTATAAATATATTGAAACATCCATGGTGACATCACACATCCCTGTCTAAGGCCTACTTATACTGGGAAATTATATATATATATATATAATATATATAATATATATATATATATATATATATATATATATATATATATATATACAAAACAACCACTCTGAAAGAATAGAGAAATTCCAAGCGCTTTCGTGACTACTCACATTGTGAGTAGTCACGAAAGCGATTGGAATTTCTCTATTCTTTCAGAGTGGTTGTTTTGCATATTCTGAAATCACCTGTTTACTGTGATCTTATTGCATATATATATATATATATATATATATATATATATATATAATATATATATATATATATATATATATATATATATATATATATATATATATATATAATAAGATCACAGTAAACAGGTACCATGAGTACAATGAGAGACAACACAGTAAGTTTCCGGGGCCCAGGACTGTTCAACTGTCTCCCAGCATACATAAGGGGGATTACCAATAGTCAGTAACTGACCAGCCTGGCTGTGGTTTGTACGTCAGTTTGCGTGGGGCTAGCAGTAACAGCCTAGTTGATTAGACTCTGATCCACCATGAGGCCTGGTCTCAGACCGAGCCGCGGGGGCGTTGACCCCCGAAACCCTCTCCAGGCATTCTCCAGGTATAACCTCTTCAAGATAAGTACATTTGTCATGTTCTTTTTGTGGAACCTACTTGTTTAATCACCCTTAGTGGAGTGTCTAGTTGTAAAGTGCGTGTCCGAGGTCACACTTCTCTCACCTTCTCAGTCCAAGATAGAGAGTTTATGGCCTCTTTCCATGTTTTAGATCAGGTCAACTTCTCCAATGATCTTTTTCTGGCGTTCGTTTCAATTCATGAACTGCGCATTGTACTTGACCCGTACCAATGGCATGCCTGAATCGACGGCTTGGTCATACTATTCTGGGGCTACCACCTTGAATCTGAGATTTGTCATACCGTGTCAAAGTATGATGTTCGGATTAAGTCTTTGCAGACCTACTTTTTCAAGTAATGTAACCAAGTGGTCAGGCACTGGTAAAACTGTATTTCCTGTCTGGAAACCTACATCCATAACCTCTTGCACACAGAATAGCAAGCAGTTGCCTTGGGTGTCAGCGGACTGTCAGACAACCTTGGTCACTGAGACTTTCTACGATAGCTACTTATTCAGGTAGTGGTTCCTTCACAAAGGACTCTGTCAGAAACTACTTGCAACAGGCTATGTATGCTTTCTATTGTTGATGTCAAAGGCTGTTTTCAGAAGAACGTTTCCGTTGCGGCTAGTGCCCTCACTCAAGGTTCAGTGTTATACCTCGTGTTCCAGATGGCAATAACATAGTAGTTGACAATGATTTATGCAGGTAAAGGGTTTGTTTCTCGAATCCTTGCACATCGTATGAGATGGCAAGCAAATACCTCTGGTCAGACGGTCCGCCTCAAAGTATAACCATTCTCGTCGATCTTGTTCATTATCCGTATCCTGTTCAGGTAGGAAACGAATTGTCACCAGACCATTGGGCGGGTGCTATTTCTCCTGGGAAGATTTAGTCTTTATCCCAGTAAAAGAAAAAGGCTTAGCTCCTACTGACTTCCCAAGTGAGGTCACAAGTCTTTTCCAGGTGTTAAATAATCTCAGAAAAGCTATGGCATTACCAGGTGAGATGGGTTTCACGAATTTACTGTCTGACCGTATTCCACTTTAACCAGGTACTAGACCAACACGTGTACCTGTGTACAGATTGCCACATTCTAAAGCTGCTATGGCAGAAGATTTAGTCAGTCAAATGCTTGATGACGGTGTCATTACTCAGCAATTCATCGTGGAATGCGACAATGATTTTAGTACCCCAGAAAGATGGTATTTGACTCCTGGTGATTGATTTCAGGAAAAAATGAATGCTAAAACGATTCCAGATCGTTTCCTACTTACTGCCTTAGGAGATTTATTACGAAATATAGGAGATAAATTCTTTAATACCGTAGACTTGTTACAGGGTTTGGCAAGTCCTTCATAAGGGCAGCCAAGAGCTAACACATTTCTCCACCTCTAAAGGCCATTTTGATTTCTTCAGAATGATCTTCGGTTTACGCTCATGACGACCATTTTTAGAAGCTTCATATATAATTCCCTTGTGGTGTACTTCGACGACATGATCGTTATATCAGATGTGGAAACGTTTGAAGAAGCCAGTTTAAAGATAAAGCTTTAA